ATAACTAGTTCAGTCTCGACAACGAGCATTAGAAAGAGCAGCAAATTGGTATCTTCTATTTGAGCAGTTGAAACATGATCTTCCAATCAATCTCTCATACCTCTTTATGAAACATGGATGAGCTCTAAATTCAAAGAATCGACTATTCTATTTATCAATATCTAATAGAATAGCAATATTTGCAATAAGACTACATACAGTATTATTTCAACATCGTGTTAAATTAATCCATAATGACCATTGTGCATATATCATGCTGTTTCATAGTAGCTATCTTTCTCATTGTCATACACAATAATTAATATGAACGGATGTGAAGACTCAACAAATAATTCGTTACTAATATGTATATTGAAATATTTCAGATATGACGAACAATGCTCGATTTATGAACCAAAAACTAGAACACCTCCATATAAAGTTCAGTCAAACAGCTCTAACAAGGATAGGACATTGGAAATAAGGCTCTGGGTGAATCTCGGGTGGAAATACTCGAATCTAGTGATAACTTTAACAACATGGAAATGATGATCTGAAAGGGTTCAGACTTCGGAAAAGAATTTGGAAAATCCAGCAGAAAGTGTCAAAATCAGAATATCAGATACATAATGTACACCAGAATTTTCTTAAATTAGTAGACTATATTATTCGTGCATACATTGAAGAAGCATTTTTTCTTCAAGCTTTTTAGAATTTATTTGATCTCATTAAGTTTCGACCTAAAACTGATAATTACATAGAAGATTATCATCCTCGATTAAATTCTCATTGTTAAAAATATCCACATCTCTAGGTCTAGATAGGTACATCCAAAGAATCGGAAGAATCAACGATTGTGTAAATTGAACAAGAATCAGCTCAACAACGTACAAGATGTCCTAAAAAATTCAAATCAATAGCAAATGACAAAGTTCTGATTCAAGCAAAGCAGAAATATTTGGAGGGTCTCTTGAGTGTCCATAGTTATTAAAAGAGATTGTGTTTTCTTTACTATCAATAGATGAAAGTATTTGCTGAAACTGCCAAATTTGGTCTTGACTATGAATCTAAACAAAGTTAAATGTTCACTTTTCTTTCATTTATGATATTTCTTTTTTTTTCCTTAATTGGCAGGAAAAATGTTCATAATCAAGAGGTATCCTTTGTCTTCAAGATACAATATTCTCTTCTTGAAGTTCTATTTATTCTTCTTTTTTTTCATCTCCTCTAATGTCTAGCTATATATATATAGAGGGATATACAAAAATGTGTTGTTGGTAGAACAGAAAAAGAGATATAGAAACAAATTCATTAAATTTTTACTTCAGAAACTCTCTAGATCTGAAACCATATTATTTTTGGTTATCCGGCTTGAGCAAACAAAATCTAAGCTATAAAAATGATTCAAAACCGTTACATCATGATGTTAACAAACTGAGGAATTCTCTTAATTAAAAGGAGTATAAAAAATGCTCGATAAATAGATTCAACAAATGTCATCGAGTGTGAATAATTTTGATGATGATTTCGAATATTTAATGAAATAAAGACTTGATGAACTTGTTTCTCTATGTCTTTTATTCTACCAATACCATTTTTTTGTATACCCTAATATGTATTGACGTCTAGGTATTAGAGAAGACAAGAGAAAAGAAAAAAAAAGCAAAAGAAAAAGAACTACTAAAACATTAAGAAACGGATACGCATCAAAGACAACATGTGATCATATATTACTGTCGTATATCATAAGAAACAGCTTTCTTAATCAATATTTCACCATCATTATATTACTTAAAGAATAATCAACTATGAGGGCGAAAGCTTGAGCTTTATTTTTATTATCACATCATATAGAAACCAAGTTTTTTTTATAAAGAATTAAAATAGCTCAGACATTTCTATTACTATGCCCTAAGTAATATTTTATTTTAATATTAAACTCATAAAAATGACCAAAAAATAATTCATTTTTAAAAGAAATATGACAAAAAAAATTAATTGATTTCATAAGTAAATCCTATTCATTTTCTACTCGATCAGTCTCATTCTGCTTTTAAGATTCAATATTCGCTTTAGTTTTTATTCTGTTGATGAAGAATAATTTTGAGATCAAGTCATATTGAAAATCTCGATTTGATGAAAAAGTCAATGATTTAATTAGTAAATTGTTCCAAAAAAATTATAATGACGATGAATAATAAATATCTGTAGTCATTCATGTGCTTAAATATTATCAATAAGTGTTGTATTTTTCAATATTAATTACAAATTATTTACTATATAATTAAATAATTTCAATGAAAGTTTTGTCCATTTCGAATAGAATTATTCTTTCATGATGGGTGTTCAAATGATTATTGGTATCGTTACTATTCGCTCGTTTTTTCTTTATTTTCGTATTTTATTTTTGTCAATTTAATATTGTTACATTATAAAAGCGTTAGATTAAATGAAAAATAAGGTTGTGAAAAACATCTGTCATATCTACAGCAGCAAGTCTCAACGCTCAATTATATATTTCAATAAACTCTTAAAAAAACTGATATTGGTTAATTTTTTTGAAGTTTCAACTTGATCAATTGACGTGTTTTATGCTAATCATATGACAAATGTGGCAAATCAATGCATGACTACCCATCATAGTTGACATTTCTGATAGAAATTATTCTCTACACAAAAGTCAATAAGTACATTATTTAATACATTTACAAAACTATTCCAATCATTTAAATTTTGAGGAAGACTTTCGAATATTGTAGATTTCTAGGAAATGATTCTGATATCAATTGTCCTCGGTTGCTAAAGTCTGTAGTGAGAAGAGAGTGAATGAAAAAGTCGAAAGAACTTTGAGTTAAAATTTACAGTTAGTATTTTTCTTCAAGAACGAATGTGAATAGGACAATATTGACGTATTTGTAGATATTGACTTAATATGAATCATATTGTTATAAATATAAATAGTATTTATTTGCGTCAAGATAATTCGTTTCCAAAAGGTCACTAGGTATATTTCTACAAAAAGAAATATTTATCATCGTCAAAAATATTTTCTTATTTGTTATAATAAAGATTGTTTGCGATAGAACAAGATTTATCAAAATAAATTTCTACGTTAATAATGGTTCCTCCAACTTCTGATCGTGTTGAATCAGTTACTTCATATGATAATAATGCTCGAATTTATCAAGAAACAGTATATAGATTATCAAAAATAATTGAAAATCCTCCTGAAAAACGTTCAAGTTTAATAGCAAATCGTTTAAAAGAATTAAACAATGAATGGGATATTGAACGTTTATTAGAATTCAATGCTTCGTCATTGTTAATAATAACTGGTATATTATCATATATTCATTCAATAAAATGGTTATTTCTAACAATTGCTATAGCATCATTTTTATTGCAACATGCTATACAAGGATGGTGTCCACCTGTTCCTATATTTCGATCATACTTTAAAATAAGAACATCTGTTGAAATACTTACAGAAAAAGTTGCTTTAAAATTCTTTCGAGGAGATTATCAATCAATTAACAAAAAATTTATTGACCAACAATTTAATGATAATATTTATATTAATGTTAAACAATTATTAGACACTGTTGATCTTCATTCTTATAATGATAAACAATATCAACAAGAACAATTCTAGACAAATATTTTATAACAAGCACTATTCTCATTGTTTTTTTGTTTGTCTTTTATTTTAACTTGACTGTAAATGAATTCTCTAACAAAAATCCACTTATATTTAAACATGCCTTTTTTATTATTGAACAATTTATGTCTTAACTAAGATAATTTTGTCCTATTGCAACAAATAACAGTTTAACATTATTTTATCAATATATTTAGAATTAAACCTATTCGACTTGAAATTGAATAAACTTTGAAATAAATATTATTCATATTTTTTTTTTGTGAGAAACATTTTCAATTATTAATCGAAAGAAAAAATGTTCTCAATGCCAATTTTCCAAATTTAACACTGAATTAAAAAAAAAGATCACCGTTAGACAATCGTTGACGATTTATAATCGATATATTTGATCATTTTATTTATCATTGCTAATTTGGCCACATTGATATATTCATCGACAGTAGTATTTTCTGACTTGAAATTTATCGAGAAAAATGTATTTTCGTTCATAGCTTTGTGCGTTCGACTGAAAAGAAGCTCATACAAAATAAAGTAACGTTTGTGTGTGAGTGTTTGCTTACATGTGGACAGGCACATGTTCACATGTATTCGCGTAATTTAAAGGTAACTTTTCGCGTTCATGGCTTCTTGGTTTAATAACATCATCCGATTAGATTTTTAGGTGGGTATGGCGGTGATCGATTGAAATGAGACAGAGAAGTATGAAACGGTACGCACATAGAAATTCTCGTGGACATTTTTGTTGACACTAACATTCAAAAACAACATCTACATGTACATTGGTACGTGAATGGAATATTAGTATCAATAGCGTTTGTAAAATAGTTTACTGCATAGGAAGAGGTGAACTTTTGGTGGAAGGTCAAGCTATTTTTGACGAAGAACCTTACTTGTCTTCATGGATACCTACATATTCGAAATGAAAGAATATAATGTGATCTTGTTAAAGTCTAAAATCGTTGGAAAAGATACACTTTTCAACTTTGACTTTTTACATTAGATGAGTCGTTTGTTCTAAAGAATTTTTTTTCCCGTTTCCGACTTCTGATTATAACCTTTGCGTGTGCCCCTTTTTGTTCATGTATACAATGTATATAGTTAATGCGTGACAACCGTCCTTTATAAATATTATTTATGAAAGAAAATGTCTTATCGTAATAGAAAAGATACATGATATCTGAAAATGTAGACATTATAAGGAACAATTAAGAATTTTAACGAAAATAGTCTACTTTTTAAAATTTCTTTTATTTATTAGTAAATCATGAGAAGTTTTACATCATATAAAAGTTCAATGTGACACTCTTTTTATTTTTAGATATTAAATCATTTTTACGAAGACAGTTCCAGTGCAAGTTACTTAAACTAGGGATACACCAATGAGATTTTATTACCATTAACATATAATTGTTTAGCTTGACAAATAGATCTTAATAAAAAAGACAAGCAACAGATATCACTTAATTCGTTAATAATAAGTTAACTTAATGTTTAAGTTAATTAAAATTTTGTTAAGCTCAAGAAATCCCAAATGATAATCGATTTATGAAAATTTCCATGTTTGATTATTTATTTATAGAATATGTATTCTGCAAAAATCATGTTTTTCAATAATGAGTATAATTAAGAAAATTTATATGACAAATAAAATCTTGTTATCTCGATTTTGGCTCGTTTAAACAGCAACTATTAGCAGTTATTTATTATAAGACATTTAATTTACTATTAAGTTAATTGATGAAGAGAATAAAACAGTCTTGTTCCATAATCTAACATATAGACAATAAGATTGATTTTTTAAAATAAATTCAGAATAAATTTGCCGTTAATAAGATGTTCTTCTTTTTGCATTGACATACAATATTTAGTAAAAATTGATTCATTTATACAATTAGATATTGATAACTTTGACAATTTTCCTATAAGTGACATATCTAATATAAATATAGAAGTAATTTGAATGTATCTATAACGAATAATGAAGTTAAATGCGTCTATCTATATGTTCAATTGATATTACAATTATTCAATACATTTAAAAACGAGACAATATTTAGAAATATATCATTTAGAATTAAGTTTTTAATATTGAAAAAATTGATCATCTTCAATAAATATTTTATTCTAAATAAATATGATTTTACGCAAGATGATCATAATTGTATAAGCTTTTCTAATTATATAATCGATATTCTCTTGTCAACCCTAGTTGACTTTCCGTAAAGAAATCCCTGGGGAGTTCCGACAAATTGTGAAATCCTCAGGGAGTCCGTTACGTGAGTCCCACTGGAGTTCAAGTAGAATACGAGAAAACCTTCGGAAGTCCCTGAAGAGAGTTCAAGTAAGATACGAGAAAACCTTCGGAGGGAGTTCCTGGAAAGTTCAAGTAAAATACAAGAAAAATTTCGGAAGAAGTTCCTGAAAAGTTCCTGAGAAGTCCCTGAAAAATCTCTAAGGATTCCCAGATGAGTCCCTAGGGATTTTTCAGGGACTCCTCAGGAACTTTTCAGGAACTTCTTCCGAAATTTTTCTTGTATTTTACTTGAACTTCCCAGGAACTCCCTCCGAAGGTTTTCTCGTATCTTACTTGAAATCTCTTCAGGGACTTCCGAAGGTTTTCTCGTATTCTACTTGAACTCCCGTGGGACTCACGTAACGGACTCCATGGGGATTTCATAGTTTGTCGGGACTCCCCAGGGATTTCTTTAGGGAAAGTCAACTAGGGAATATATTCACCTTTCTGTACAGCATCGAATTATTCAAATTTCATTTATTACAAATTTTAAGTATAATCAACAATAAATATTTATTTTTACGTATTAATCATGCGTCATATTGATCGATAACACTTTTATTATTATTCGAATACTGATACGTTTTTTAAGTAATTGAATACTTTTCTTTTTCTTTACGCTTGTAATCAAATGTTTGACCTTGAAATTAGCAGTTTTCGATGTGTATACCTCATGCTCACTCTGATGATCGCTCATATGAGCGTGATCTGTTCAGACCGAAATATTTTTAAAATATATTTAAATCTGTGTAGTCTATTATTATACATATTAAATATTATGTATAATAATCTATAATAAAACTACTGGAAAATTTGTGAAGGATGATATTGAAAATAAAAATAAATATTGTCTTACTTTCAATAGATATTTCTATAGTTTTTCAATATAATTTAACATTATTTTACTTTTATGTATCTCGAATAATAACTCTCGTCAATAATCTTAACTTGTCACATTATCTTATTAAATCAAACAGTTTTACGATCGTATTTTGCATTATCAAGTACAAATACATACGATTTTTTATGGAGTTCGTAAACGACTCTTGTTTTCTTAAGTATCTTATCATAAAACCTTGTACTTTTGGCAGAGAGTACAAAGAAATATTGAAAAATTAAGTAGATTAAAATCTGTTCGTATTCAATGAAATATGGATTTTATATTGTTGTTTTCATTGATTTATGAAATTTTTTTAGTTTAAATGAATTCAATTATGAATATAAATGAGTCGAAGAAAAATGCCAAATATATATTAATATATTTCTTGGTCTCTCTTGACATTAGAAGATTTTTATTCGCCAATGTTTTTACAAATAAATATATATATTTATGATTTAATAATTAAAATATTTTCATTAAAGTTTTTTTTCTATTTAATATAATAAAATTAAATTCTCATTTGATAAAAATAAAGAGAAATTACTTATTTTCATATTGAGAAGATTTTATCCACAAAATCAAAATTTTTCTAAGTTCTAATATTGATTATTATTGTTAAAACATAAAAGATTGACAATAAATCACATGACTATATAAAAGAGTTCATCCTACAAGAAGTCTCATTGAATAAAATTTGAAGAATAATATTATTTAAATAAGATAAATTAATCAATATGAATTTATCAGATAATCAACTCGTTCGCTAATAGAAGCAATTAAAATTTTTTTTTGAAAAGATTTTTATAAAAAAAAAAGATGCATTATCGAATATGAAAAATAATATATAAGAATGCTTTTTTTTTATTTCATGAAATATATTTAATTGACAGAATTATTATCAAAACAAATAGCCTTTTATACAAATGAATCTATTCGAATAACTTTTTCTTAAACAATAAAGTAATAACTGAAATAAAATTTGAAATTTTTTTTTCTAATCTCGATCAAAAATTCCACTATTAAACATGAAAAAGAACAAATATTTAACTGATTTTAATGAATAACTCTCTTTAAATTTTGAACTTGTTTTCTTTCATAGAAGGTAAACAATACGATTTATTTTTTCGGATTCATTTTACCTATACTCAATATAAATATATTGAATAAAATTTCTTCTTTTTTTTAAATAAAATATTCTAAATCAATATAAAATACAGTAAACTTCAATGTTTAATATTTGATTCGGTTTATGAATGATAATTAAAAAAAAATATTCATTGAATATATATTATCAAACGAAGATAATCATCTCGATCTTTATTCTATGTGTTGATTATTATTATATCGAATATTTATTTAAAATAATATTAGAAATAATTCTATATCAAAATGAATAGTTTAAAATAAAAATCATTCAAAATATTTTCTAGATATTTCGATAGACTTGTTCCAGGTGACCTCAATTAACGTAAAACTAAAGTCCAATGGAATTTTTTGAGATTTAGTTATGATACAGATAACTTGAATTCTAGGTAAGAAATATTTTTTGAAAAATAACATAATCATTTTAATCTTAGTCAAACAATAATCAACAATCAATAAAAATAAATCAAATCAAACATTTTATTAGTATTTTTATGATCCAACCTTTTAACTTTTTTGTTATTATTAAAGATAAGACAAAAAAATATTCTATATAAATATTTAACATTGAAGAATTTATCTGAAACAAAAGTATTCAACGAATAAAAAGAATAAAGTAATCATTTTCAATGATATGTACATTAAATATATTATGTTTAAATTATATTCTAGAAAAAAATTCAATGATATCACATCTATTTGTTGTTTTGATTTCATTGGTAAAACAAATTATAATTATAATAATAATAATAATTACAAATGAAAATATTTATTTGTTTTTAGATTGGAGTTCAAGGACAATACCAGTTTAAAAAACTGTGGTGCATCTAACGATGTAATTCAATTAACGAATCTTCAAATAATTCCTCATCCAATGAAAATTCCAAGTTCGGCTATATTTTCACTTTATGTTAAAACAACTGAAGATATTGTCGGCCCTATTAAGGTTTTTTTCAATATCATTTTTTAAAAATTTTCACCAATTAATTATTTTTAGACGGAGTTTAAATTGCATAAAGTTGTTTGGGGGTTTAATATTGAAGTTCCTTGCACCGACGGTGTTGGTTCATGTAAATATGATGATTAGTGTACTTTTTGTAAGGACTGTCCTTGTCCAATATTAACAGTAATATATTTTCTTTTCTCTATTTTTTTTATTTTAATATATTTGAAATATTTAATTTAAAGGGAGATCAAGTAATGCATATGCCAATGGAAATAACAACATCTATACCTTCAGGAGAATTTCTGTTGAAATCAAATTAACATCTTACACAGGTCAAAAAGGATGTGTCAAAATAACCAAGATTAAAGTTGAAAATTAAAATTTTCATTTCAAATCAAATTAAATCTTCTGATTTTCTTTTCTTTTTTCAAATAAAAATTTTTTTCAAGAAAGATTATTTTTTTAAATAAATATATTTTTATTTTAAAAATTTTATATAATAATTAATATTAATAAATATTCTCATGAGAGAATAAATATTTCGAAATCAAATAAATTAATTAATCTATTGATTATCTAAATTAGATATGATAAACAATAACAAATAAACAAGAGAATCTTCTTGTTATTTTCTCTAGTTCGACATATATTAAAGATTAAAATCGAATAATTTAGACAATAATTTATATTCCATAGAAGTTAATAAATAGAATTTATTCTCATATTCGAAATCATATATTCTATTGAATATATCCATAGATTCGTATCGAATGTTTCTCGACATAATATGTGTGTAATTAACGCACACGTCTTATTTATTCTTTGTTGATCAATTTAATTCTTTCAGATCTCGGTAACTTGGTCAAAGTCGATCGTATTGTAGTATCGAGTTTTGCTTTTGGTCATTATTAGACAATATGCGAAATATTTTTTGAATAGTTTTATGAAGATGCGAGGTCATTTCTCAGTAAACCAGATAAAACATAGGTGCTCATAAATATCTGTTTATGATGATGAAGGAGCTATACAACTGAATAACAAACGAATAGTTAGTATATATTATTTATTGTATTGTTATTTATTTTCGACTAAAATATAGGATCAACTTAACGAATAGTAAAATTATTTTTTTCTATATTACTTTTAAAATTAGATTATATAACAGTATCAATGCAATCAAAATTGGTTATTAATCATTGATTTCTTTTTCTTATCGTAAATTTATTATTGAGCAAATAAATATAATAATAAGTTAAAATAAAGTATATATTAACAGATATGAAAGGATCAAACAGTGTGTAATGTCCCCATGTAGATTGAATATCATCAAATGGGTTTCTATCGTATTCTAGTTGCATCCGATAGGATCGAAGTTCTGGATTCTTCGTTCTGGAATAGTATTGTTTATGTAATTGGTAATTAGTGTCGTCATAACATTCTTATAGAATATTCTATGTCATTTCTTGAATATAAGTTGGAAAACTTTATGATCATGACTACAATATGGATGAGATTGATCACATATGAAACTAATAATAGCCGTTAGGTCAATACAATTATTGCAGAGTGTTTAAGTAGATAATAAATTCTGAATGAAAAAGTCGTTAATAAATAGAGATTTTTCAAAAAAAATAACCGTTAGAATAATTTAAAATTTTCTAGAAAGATTCTTCGAGTTAGTCAGTCAAGATAAATACTTCTCGATCTATGCGCTCAGATACAGAATTCGACGTTAGAAAATGACGATAAAAAATTATTGATGACAATTATGAAAAATATTATCAGTTAAAAATAAAGCATCAATGATACTATCATAATGAAGATTATTTTTCTAGATGTTTCGATCAGAATATAAAGAAAATAGATAAAAAGGAAAACTTTTTTTTTCTATTTACTGAACTTAATTCGTATTTGTGACAAATATATGATGTGAATCAATAAAGTCTATAGGTTATCAGTAATATAATAATGATCATAAGAAAGCAAATGAAAAATATCCAATTGAGTCGTATTCTATATTGTTACTATCATCGGAATTTTAAAAAAGGCCATCGAGCAAAATGCTTACAACGTTTTAACGAAGATAGCTACAGTCCTGCGGTTTTCATCATTCGAAAGAGGAGACAGGGGAACATCTTTTCCTTCAATATTGTATAAGACGAAATCATTTAAAGATCAGTCATTTCTACAAAACATCGAAAAAACGGTCTGTCATTCAGATGAAATTTTGGTTTTGACATCTGATCTAGACAGACGGACATCAGATCTATAGTTCAAGATATAATTTGAATGATTATCTTTCCACATCCTAATGTTGAACAAAGAAAATCATCTATTCAATCGCACGAAAATTATGGAATTCTTTTAACTTTTAAACACATTTTCTTACTTTTCGTCAAAATTTCATCTGAATGACAGACCGTTTTTGTACGTTTTGTCGGTGTTTTGTAGAAATGACTGATCTTTAAATGATTTCGTCTTATACAATATTGAAGGAAAAGGTGTCCCCCTGTCTCCTCTTTTGAATGGTGAAAACCACAGGGCTCTAGCTATCTTCGTTAAAAAGTTATAAGCATTTTGCTCAATGGCCTTATTTTAAAATTCCGATAATAGAAAAGATATATTTGTTGAATGATGAGTTTTGAAAATGTATAAAGAAAGTTGTCTGACAATCGAATAGAAAAAAAACTGAATAGATAATCAGATTCATTAAGTGTGTGTGTGTACTTCAATACAGCAATAAATATAAGTTAAATTGTTAAAAAATTTTTGTATAATATAATCAATAAAATAAGTAGTGTAAATTTCTCTATATAAAAGTTTCTTGTATTTTTCTAGCAGCATCCAATTGTATTTTAATCATGGGAATTTGTTTAAGATATGCAATTGAATCATTGATATTTTCAATAACGCTAGATTCATTTTGTACACGTTTTTCTATAATATTATTCATTTGTTTTTCATAGTCTTGTTTTAATAATCGAAGTTGATTATATAATAATAAATTGAAATGATGAGAAGATATATTGTTACAAATAAAATTTTCTTCATTAATAATTCGATTTAAATTGAATAAAAATGGATCATTATCTGTCATATGCATAACATACATTAGAAAATGAACTAAATTGATACTTATTTGAAGAAGTTCATTGGAAGAAGTTAATTTTTTTATAGATCGATTATTTGTTTGATTAAATTGATATTTATATTCAAGTTGATAATCGATATGCATATGATTATTTGAATCACACGAACAAGTATGACATTTGTTTGTGTAATTGTGTGAATAATGATATATTATCCAGAAAATTCCACATTGTTGATAATTATATTTGCATGAATAACATAGAGTAGAAGAATGTTTAACAGATATTGGATGCAATTCAATCGAATAATCTGTATGACCTATGTTCCACAATAGAATATTTCGCATATTATTTCTTATTGTTTCCACGATGGGACGAATTAATTGATTTATTTCGAGTTTAATATATTCTCTTTTTTTCAATCCTTTATCAAGAAAATAAGGTTGAAGATTATTACTAACATAATCTAGAAGATGATTCCATCCATTATGTGAAATAAGCCAACTTTGTTTACATATATCATTTTGATGATTATCCGATATAGTTAAATGACGTTCGATAGTTAAATGACGAAAAAAAGTACTATCAAAAGTAAATATATTTGTATCATTAAAAGGAATATTATTAACTGGAATTGATTTAAGGATTGTTTTGACTGTTTGAGATAATTCATTTGAATTAATTGTATGAGAAAGTGTTTTAGTGAAACAAAATATTAAATTTTTCATAGCATCAAACTCAAGAAAATTAAATAAATATGTTAAACATGTTCGATATACATCGAGTTGCTTATCATTTGGTTCCAGAAGAATACAAATAGCATTTAAATGTGTTAAATTAATGATAGATGATAATATTTGTTGCATGACTAATTCATCTTGTTTTTTATAATCGTTTTTACTAAATCCAGGTGTATCAATAAAACATAACTTTTTATTATTATTATTATCAATATTAAAATAATATGATTTGCAATTTTGTGTTATTGATTGATCATGATAATCGTAATTTTCATTAGAATCATCATTAGTCAAATGCACAACATGTTCTTCAAATGCATTTTTAATTAAATCTGCACATTTAATAATTACATACAAAGGTGATCTATGCAATATAATGTCTTCATAATTATTGAATTTAAGATAATTAATATAAGTATTAATTAATGTTGACTTTCCAACTCCTGATTTACCTAGAAGAAGAATATTGATTGTTTGATCATCAGTAGATGATATTGAAGGTTGATCAGATATGTCTTTCTTATTTGTTAATAACGATATTCTTTCATTGATATTTTCAGTATCGTTGATTGAAGGAATTATTTTTATTTCATTTAACTCAAACATAGAATAAGTAAAATCGACATAAACTATATTTAAATAAGGTTTCGATTTTCTTTCGTTCAACATAGTTGAAAATAATTCATCCAATTTATGATAATTATTCTTATTTAATTGATCGTTTGAACATATAATACGTTGTTGATAATTATTTTTCAGTAGTTTATCTTCAATGATATTATCATTGTCACTTTGTTCGATACTAAATTCAATTGCATTTTGATATTCAATATTTCGTTGTTGTAAATTGATGATAAAAGCTACTTTTTCTTTTAAACGTGTCAAACTTAATATAGAATCATCGATACTATCTTTTAATGTTGTTTGAATATCTTCGTTAAATAAATTATGTTCGATTACATTTTGTGTATCTTTACTACAACGTAAATTTACAATCATTTTTTGTAATTTTATCTTTTCATTTTCATATCGATCAATTAATTTTGATGATTGGTTTTCTGCTGCTTGTAATTGTTCTTTGAGATATTTATTCAATATATTGGATGTCTGATTATCAAGAGTTGCTTTCCAAATTTTTTTGAGCCACAATAATCGAATTAAATTTTGCTCAATATTTTGTACAATTTTCGGTTCAATTGGAGTAAATCTAGAACAAATTTTATCTTTATCACTATGAAATTCTTCAATATGTTTAAGAATATAAGTCGATGGTCGACATGAATTAGAATTATTTTTAAATTTGCATATATCA